GTTTAACTTACCTCTTTGTTTTTGTGTAGTTCCCCTTTCTGAAGTTAAATGCCACATAGTTGGGCTGCTGAGGTGTTTTTCCCACCACAGGGATGTTACATTTTATTACATTATGGTCACTATTTCCAAGCAGTATAGTTATATTTACCTCTTGAACCAGATCCTGCGCTCCACTTCGGACTAAAGCAAGAATAGCCTCTCCCCGTGTGGGTTCCAGAACCAGCTGCTCATTTAAGGTATTAAGAAATTTTAACTCTGCATCCCATCTTGAGGTGACATGTACCCTATCAATATGAGGATAGTTGAAATCCTCTACTATTATTGAGTTTTTTATTTTAATAGCCTCTCTAATCTCCCTTAGCATTTCATAGTCACTATCACTATCCTGCTCAGGTAGTCAATAATATATCCCTACTGTGATATTTTTATTATTAGAGTACGGAATTACTACCCATAGAGATTCTATGGAGCATTTTGGCTCATTTAAGATTATGTCATTTGATTCTACATTTTTTCATGTATAATGCCACTCCCCCACCAGCATGACCTGTTCTGTCCTTCCGATATATTTTGTACCCTGGTATGACTGTCCCCTATTGATTGTCCTCCTTCCACCAAGTTTCTGTGATGCCTATTGTATAAATATCCTTCTTTAATACAAGGCACTCTAGTTCACCCATCTTATTACTTAGACTTCTAGCGTTTGTGTATAAGCACTTTAATAATTTGTCACTATTTATCTGTCTGCCATATCTTGAAGTGTTAGACTCTTTTTCATGTGATTGTTTTCCATCTGATCTTACCCACACTTTATCATATTCCATTCTCTCCTCCTTACTTGAACATAGAAAATCTCTATTAATAGACCCTCCCCTAAGAGATGGCTCTGTCTGATCTATGTGCTCCTCCATACCTGTTGGCTTTCCCTCAGTCCTTAATTTAAAAACTGCTCTATGACCTTTTTAATGTTAAGTGCCAGTGTCTGGTTCCATTGTGGTTTAGGTGGAGCCCATCCATTCTGCATAGGCTCCCCCTATCCCAAAAGTTTCCCCAGTTCCTAATAAGTTTCTGTACTGTCGTCTCATCCATGCACTGAATCTCTGAAGTTCTCCTGGCCTACCTGGCCCTGCACATAGAATCATAGAATAATAGGACTGGAAGGGACCTCAAGAGGTCATCGAGTCCAGCCCCCCGCCCTCAAGGCAGGACCAAGCTCCACCTACACCATCCCTGAAGCATTTCAGAGAACACCACCACAGAGGTCCTGGATTTCAATCTCTTTCCTAGCAGCCTAAATTTGGCATCCAGAACCTCTTTCCTACCCTTCCCTATGTTATTGGTACCTACATTACCATGACCACCAGCTCCTCCCCAGCACTACACATAAGGCTATCTAGATGCCTTGAGAGATCCACAACCTTCGCACCAGGCACGCAAGTCACCATATGGTTCTCCCGGTAATCACAAACCCAACTATCTGTTTCTAATGATCGAATCTCCCATTACTAACACCTGCCTTTTCCTAATGACTGGAGTTCCCTCCCCCAGAGAGGAATGCTCAGTGCAAGAGGATACCACAACATCATCTGGAAGGAGGATCCCATCTATGGGATCATTTCCCTCTGCTCCAGTTGACTGTTGTCCTTCCCTGAGCCTTTCACCCTCCTTAACAGCACAGAGGCTGTCTGACTTGAGGTGGGACAGTTTTACAGTGTCCTGGAAAGCCTCGTCTACATACCTCTTGGCCTCCCTTAGCTCCTCCAATTCAGCCACCCTGGCCTCCAAAGCCCGTACCGTACATGGTCTCTGAGGGCCAGGAGCTCCTTGCATTGATTGCACACATACGCCACCTGTCCATAGGGCAGGTAATCATACATGCTATCTTGGGTATAGTAAACAGGGTAGCCCTTACTCTGCTGCTGGGCTTCTGCCTGCATTCTCTCCTACAGATAATTAGATTACGGATAGGGTTTTTATTTAAATCAGGTAGTTTTGGTTTTAGTTTAGTTTTAAAATTTTAAAGAATACCAAGTGTAAGATGCTACTGTCTTACACAATCAAGAAGTTACAACTTCTATCAACACATAGTTCATGCAGTTGGCTGTCTTTGTATTTTGTTATACAAGTGAATGTAATTAATGAGGCAACTAATATTAGTTTATAAACCTGACTTTTTTCAGAAGATTTTTGTCAATTTTATCATAGCTGTCAGGTAATAGATTTGAAAGTGGTCTTCTGAAATCTTGTCAAAGACACTATCCCACAAGAAATTAGCAAACTCTGCAATCTTTTTTTCTACACTAAGTTGAACATTATCAAAAGGCACTTTTAAAATTACACTTCAAGTACAGCATTCTGCTGACAAAACATGAGCAATGCAAAGACGTCACCCATGTAGATTACAATAGCGATTCTAAAGAAGCAAAAAAAGTGTCTGTAATATGAGAAATGAAAATAAACCCTGAAACTTCAAATGATATATTTTATACAAAAATGAATCAAAATTAGTCTTTTTGCAAATTATAAATGCATAAATCATTTGAAACACTGATGACCACTGGTTCAACTCAAGTTTTCAGCATTTGTTATAATAGTTTGAACAATTAAAGGAGTGTTTTCAAATTAGGTCTAGTGTGACATATTAACCTTTTGGCCAAGATCAATACCAGCTTTAATTTACATTGATGAATCTTCCTTACAGGGCTCAGGAGGGAAAGGTAACACCATGGATTTGCACAAGATGGGCTCAAACTCTTTAATCTCTCACTTGTAAAATCTTATTACAGGAGATTTGATCAGCTGTCTCCACTGTATGGAAGTCATAGTCCAAGGTTCATAACAAAAAGTCAGTCTCTAAGCAAATGGAATCAGTCAAATTGGGCTAAAGTCCTGAAGGGTAGCTAGGTTACATTGTAAGTCACTGCATAATTAAACTAGAGAAGTGGATCAGTTGATGTCATGTGGACAGAGAAAAATAAAACAACAAAGAAGATAATAAAAGGGATTAAAGCAACAAGGAAAACAGACCAGGCATACAGCCTGAATGATCAAGTTTCACTACCAACTAACTCAGTCTGAAGATATCTAGCATATGTCCCATTTCACTGGTACCCTAAAGATGTGACGGATGGAATTTGGGGGCACACTTGTAGGCAAATGACTGCAAAGCATCATGGTGAACAAATGTATCAGGGAGATAAGGAAACATGGCCTGGATGGAGAAGCAGAGAGGATGCACTGACAGTTGGACTCAGACAAGGTACTTGAAGGTACAAGAGCAGCTCAGGAAGAAAAGTGAGTGCACCAAGTCCTGACAGGAAGAAATAGGGATCATTTACAGCACATGAATCATTAGCAATAGTGCCTTATGTATTACAGAAATGGTGTTCTCACCTTCCAGAGATAGAGGAGAAATGGTAAGCACAGGCAGCTTAATCAATCATCTCTAAAATGCCCACACAAACCATTTGGAATATTTTTCTGCAGCAGTAATTCTTTGGACATAACCAAAACAACTATGGTGTCACATTTTAAGAGTAACAGCTTACAAAAGCTTTATAGATGCTTAAACCTATCAATAGATTATGACTCTATAATCAGCATGTCTAGATTTATAGTCCTATTTACTCTGATTAAACCGAAGGTGTCTTTCTTATCTACCTAATGAAAACTTTGCTACAGCCCCAGTAACATACATTGCTATGTGATAAAATGGCTACTCTAATAATGTTAAATGTAATTACACTATACCATTAAAAAAGGAAGAACCAACTATATTTTAATCCAACATCTCAACTGTACCAGGAGTAAAACCGTGCTTGCTACAATTGTGTTTAAATATTAGTGTAGCTAGATTGTTTTATTTGCAGTGCAGACAAAGGCTGGGGCTGAGAAAATGCATAAAGAACACACTACATCTTTTCCCTGAATAAGAAACCTCATTAGAATAGTTAATCATTTCTTTTATTTATAAAGCTCCCATCATCATCGTATTTGAGTGCAGGTCACAAGCTTCATCATATTTTGTATAAACATGTATGTGTTTAACATTAAAAATAAACTAATGTCCTTTCAAAAAAGTTTAGACATTTTAACTTGCTAGTAATTAAATAGGGAGAATACTCAGTGAAATATCCTGCATTTGGAATGACAAGACTGAGCATAAATGGTTATTCAGAACACCAGGTACCATTCTTATCCCAAAGAAGCCCAATGATTTTAAATTCAAATATACTGTTATCTTCAGGGGGGAAAACTATACAGAAAACTCACTGAAAAAAATGCATTAATTTTAGTCTAGATTTCCAATACTTCATGGAGATCAAGACCTTCTTCTGAAATGACTTTGATTTCACAGCAGAATATAAATACATTTATCAGATCACAAACACTCAAGACATAGAGGGGTATGGTTAGAAATAACCTTTCTTTCTAAAGCTAACAGTGATCTTGAGAGGTCACGAGCATTCTATTAGTTCCCTTCACCATATTTTGTTTCTACATCATATAAACTATATTCACACTTGATTTTTGAGCCGTCAGTGTTTAAAATCAGCGCATTTAGTTTCTTAAAAAATAAATAACTCTTAGGGTGCACCTATACTGTGCACGTATTTTGGAATAAGCTGTTCCAGAAGAAATACTCCAAAATATTTTAATTTGAAATAGCACATCTACACTACAGGGAAGCCTCAAAATTAGTCCAAGGCAGGACGTACTACCTCGATTTATAGCCCACGAGGAACTGGGGAGTAATTGCTTTGAATAGCCCTGGGGAGCATCCACACTACTGCTATTCCAAAATAGCCATTTCAGAATAAATGTTATTCCTCGTGGAATAACAATTTCAAAAGAAGCCATTCATCATTTAAAAATTATTTGGAAATAACAGAATTGCTGTGTAGACATTTGCACTGTTATTCTGAAATAACAGAAGTTATTTCGAAATAACTGTGCTGTGTAGACATACCCATAGTGAATTCCCTTCCCCATGGCTCCTGCCAAATTAATCTGAGAACCTTGCACTCTCGTTGTGGCACTGGGACAGGTTTCTGTGGAGTGTATGTATGGCCAATAGAGAGCCAAGAAAAGATCGCTACATTTTGGCAAAATACAAGAGGGGAATCTTGTCTGACAGGTGCTAATAATAAAAACATGTAAATCAAGGACAGTAGAGAATTCTTCTCCCCCACCCCCACCCCTTGTTGCGGGAATGTGTGCCATTATTCAAATATTGCTGGGGATTAGCAAATTACTTTTGAGCACTGCTTTTATTATAAATGAGGAAGTCAGAAATGTCATGCCATACATTACTGTCGTCGTACAGGTAAGTCATGGAAGATTGCAGAGAGGGTTGGAGAGTGTGCCGATGATATTCAAAGAGCCACAGAACAATCCCCCAAGTCACAGCAGCAAAGATTGGGAAAGGGTCCTGCTTGGGTTCTGGGATATAACCCTTCTCCACTGCCAGTCGTGACAAGCCAAACAGAATACGAGACAGCAGGTACATGTTTATCTACATAAAGAGAAAACCCAAGGAATTACAGTCCAGTAACATGGCTAGCAAACCTGACCTAATCAAGCAGTTTAGAAGTTAAAGACACAGAAAAGATTAATATTGGACCATAATTCACTACCTAATTAAATTGCCTTCAACACTGAAGTACGTTTGTATCCTCCCAACATGATTATTTTCCTGGTTTGCTTATTGGCACTCTAGTTCTGCTGAGCAATAGATTTCATCCGGTGCAACATGCTACCACTTGGAAAATCAGTTGTGTTGGCAGCTGTAGCAGGTTTAAATCAAACTAAGTGAGTCCAAAGAGTTTTGCAGCAGTTGTGTGGTTTCACACCACAACTTCAGTAACTCCAGTGCAAGTTTGTGTGTGGAAAAGGCCTGTGTGACTTCCCCATGGCTAACCAGTGAGTCAGTGGCAGAACTGGGAATACAAGGTAGGTCATCTGGCTCCCAGTGCTGTGTGCACTACCCTCTGATGCAAACAGTTCTCCTTTAGGCTTTGACAGTAAATGAGCTAACTATGAAAAGCACAGCTTACAGTATCAGTCTTTTTTAGTTTGTTTAAATCCTAGTCAAACCAGCAGCTACACAACATGTAGTTGTTGATTGTCTTTTTATGGCAAGGTCAGAAAGATAAAACTCCACAAACATGTTTGTTTACCTGGCTGTTGATATGATTATTTTCACCAAACACTAACCAGCCCCCAACACAGGCTGCCAGGAAGGAGTGCAACTGAAAGTTCTTTCCCTGTAGTCGAGACTGCAGTGCCATCAGCCCCTTGTAAGTGAACACAAAATACGCCAGGTTTCGGGAATGAGTATATGTGGCCTGAGCAATCGCTTTCAGTTTCTCTCTTAAACTGAGCAAAGGAACAAACAAGCATTAGTAAAGCAATAACACTGTCATAACACTGCTCATTCTGCTGGTATGTTGCATCCCCTTCTCCCTCCTGACGCATGCCTGGTCTACCTAGGCTAAGTTTTTTGGGTCAGGAACAATCTACAAATCTATGTACAGCACTTGGTACAATGAGGCCTATTGTTTGTTAGGTCATAGGCACTACTGTAATACAAATACAGGTCTGTCACTCTTGGGACCGGTTTTGCTGGGCCAGGGGAGGTCCCTTGCTACCAACTCTCCAGTCCACTACCCCACACAGGATGCTGCCAGCCCTTCTGCGACTACGCTCCTGGCCCTGGGCTCTCTGGTCCAGGAACATCCAGCAGGACCAGTGAGCTAAACAAAAACAAATATGTGAGGATGGCTCATTTCACTGCTAGGTCACTGATCAGAATCCAGTCTAAGTCTCCTTTTACCCTGATTTACCATCATTCCAGAAATGGACAGTCAACCATTGGAGCAGCTGCACCAGTACAACCATCCATTGGCTTTCCTCATCTATACAATTTGCACAGGTGGAGTTTAACACTGCTTGAAACAAGATAAGCCCAGCAGGGGAAAATGGTAGTTCTCCTTGCATAACCAAGGCCTAGCTGGATCAGCTTCCTGAGCCTCAAACAGGCTGCATTCTGCTTGTCCTTTGTATTTTTAAAAAGTTACATTGCTGTGGGATTTTCCCATGTAGTTATGACAACATAACTAAATGTTCATGTCATTTGACCTGAACATGCCTGGTGTTTGCAAAAGGTTCACTTTTAAAAAATAGCTGGCTGAAGCATGCACTCTTCATTACAGAGAAGGCCAGAAAGGAAGAGTAATGTGTGTACCTTCCACTCTTGAAGAGAAAGGTCATCACCAGAGCATGGGGAGCCCGGATCTTTGCTCCATAGCTGCAAAAGAAAATGATGATATGCATACATACAATGTTTGCATGTATTTTTTTTAAATTACTGTAATCAACTATTGATCTTTTAATCCTTATATTATAGTGGAATAAACCACAAGTCATTGGCTAATCAGTTGAAGTCCATTTCAACACATCACCTGATAATTCGATCAAAGAACCAGGGTGGTGTGATTTGTAAAGTGTTGCACTCTAACATCTAGCTCATTAACATAAACCAAGTGCCTTTTAGAGTGCACCAGCAGAATCACACAAGGCCTTCAGAACACAACACATTAGTGCACTTCACAGTGCCTTTGGGTGTGTTTTACTGGCACTGTTCAGACAAGACAAAAGTAGGGATGTAATAGTGTAGTCAATTAACCGATAAGCAAAAGCTTCTAGGTTAATGCTATAGACTACATGCATTTCCTTCCTCCCATCCTTACTAGTAAATTTTTTAGCAGGCTGGCCAGCAGCCTGGCTCAATTCTGGCTCCTGCAGAGTATAGAACCTACCCTGCTGTGGCTCTGCATTTAAAGTGCATTAGGAGCCAGGCGGGCAGGCAGCCCAGCTCAGTTCCAGCTCACGCCAGGTTCAGGAGCTCAGATCACCCTTAGATGGGGTTGCTGCCACCTCACGCTGCTGCCGCTTTTTCAGAGGCAGCAGCACAGGGCAACAGGCAGCTGGTCCACAAGGGGAGCTGTTTTTTAAACTGGCTCCCTTCATGGACCAGCTCCTGCCAGGCACCCTACACAGCTGCCTCTGATACAGTGGCTGCTGACCCCGCCTCTGGGGACTATAGAACAGTCAACTAACCGATACAAATTCATGAGGTTACTTGATTATTCAATTAATTGATTTTTAACATCCCTAGACCTAAATATGTTTTCTTCCTCAAATAAAGATAAAAGGCCTAGTTCTGCTCCCACTCAAGTCAATGGCAACAGGTCTGACCCTCCTCCCCTTTAGAAATAAAGCCTTCTTCTTTAGCATTTTTTAAACAACTATACAATGTATGGTTTTTAGTCACAACTCAATTGAATGCATCTAGAGCGTCTCTGAAAGGTATCAACTAAGACACAGACTGTAAATTATTTTGTATGGGGCTAAGAGAATTGCCCTACTTATCTGTAAAGCACTTAGCCCACAGTAAGCACTACACTGACAATACATGCTGGTACTTTGAATCAAAGGGCTGGTTTATGGGTATGTTAAAAAAGTAGCAACTCACACAGCAAGTTTGGAAATATCAGAGAGTCTAATTTGCTTTAGGCACTTTCTGTCAAGCAAAGACAACTGGACTGTCAGCTGCATCCCTTTCCCAATCAGTCCAGGAGGTCACTTTTTTTTTAAAAAATTGCCATCAGATCCAGAGCAACTTGTCACTTCACAGTGTCACAACACACCATGCAGGAGACAGTGGCATCAAATTGCAACATAAGCAGGCCAAGGTCCGAAGTCACTATCCACATGGGATGAGACAACAGATAGCAGAATACAACTCTTAAAATAGCCTGAAAAAAGTGGGGTAAGTCTGTCGTAACCTGGGAGCAACAGTGCTTGAAGCGGACCCCACAGAGACAGCTGGATTTACAATATTTCCTCTGGATCTGCGATCCACCCTCTTGAAACATTGCTGGAGCAAGCTTTAACGAGCCCCTAAAACAAGCGACAGGCTGCTCCCAGGGGGGCTTTCTCTCCGCAGCCTGCTGGGGAGAGGGGCAGCACAAGGAACGTCATGGGCCGGGCCCGAAGGAAAGCCCCTCCCCCGCCTGGCCCGGGGGCGGGGACAGGGCGGCTCGAAGAGGGGGGCTGGGGGGGACCCCCGGCACAGCGCGGGCCCGGAGAAGGCGAGGAGCCCCCGCGGGCGGCCCGGCAGCCCGGCTTACACCGCTCCGTTGCGGAAGCCCTTGAGCACGGCCAGCGCGGCGCGGTATCTGCGCTGCTGCAGCAGGGAGTTGACGGCGCGGAGCACGGCCCGGAGCACGGCCTGGGCCCCCATGGCCGCCCGCCCGCCCGGGGTCCGGTGGCACCGCTGCAAACAGTCCGGGCGGACAGCGAAGGCCAGGCCAAGGTTCCGCAGCTGCACAGAGCACATCGCACGCCCATAGGCTGCCTTACCCATCCATCAAAACTCGCGACTAATGGGAGATTGCGCCCTGCCCCTTCAAGGCACGTTCTCAAGAGTGGTCTGCCTATTGGGAAAGGTCACAGGGCTTCGGCACCGCCCGCCAGATTTGCGGCTATTGGCCAGAGCAGAAGCGACCTCTTCCAATGGGGGCTGCTGCGAGGGGGCGCTCTTTGGCTGCCCGGGGGATGCTGCTCAGAGTTCAGTCCCTACAGCGCGGCACAGCTGCTGCGGGGCCACCGGCTGCAGCGCCTCGTGGAAACACACATAAACCTGTATGCTCGGGACCGGCACGAAACCCTGTGCTGGGCATGAATGGAATAACCTGCCCAAGGAAAGTCTCTTCCTATCCTCTGCCGTTTAGTGATGGCTTTGTGGTGGGATGTAACTTTATCTTCCTTCTAACAGAAAACTATTCTCTCTAATCTCTCCAGTATAACTCTCATTGCATGTCTAGTCCTTTTTAAAAAAATCTATGAACTACTGTTTTCAGTGGCAAGGAGTCCCACAGGTTAGTTGTGTATTGTGTTTAAAAGGTTTTTTATCTTTTTTTACTCCTTTTTTTTTCTAGGCTTGGCAGAATTTGAGCATTATTATAATTTTGAGAGATAGCAACGTTTATTTTAAAGCATATTTCAGGTTAATTTTGTAACTGCATAAGTATTGGTTTTGATTTTTTAAAATCTATTTACATTTCAAAGTTGTAGGAAACTATGGAGAGGGCAGACAATGACAGTAAATGCTGATATTCAAAAAGTTAAACGTTTTATATAAACTGTTCAATTGTCAACATCATGGGGCAAAATATATACATATTCTTAAGTCAGCTGTGCTAATATTGATATTAAAACATGTTCCATGCACATTAAGGTGGGACTCTAAGTTCTCAAGCAGCATTTTTATTATTTTTCCTAACTAAATTATCAATAGGAATATTTTTTAAATCTGTGTGTGTACGTACAGTGAAATAATATTTACCATAGTTACCAATAAAACGCTAATCCTAAAAACCTAGTTTTATTGAATAACTCTTTATCCTGTAGGTAAAAGTGTAATTGAAATGCTTTATTTACCTTTATTACGCCCTTTGTTATTGTGTATATCTTTTGTCATGTATCATCCTCTCACTCATATCATCTCTAAACAGTCATTACAGTTTGTCTTCATATGGAAGCTTTTCCATACATCCAATAATATGAGAAATGGACACAAATTAGATATTAGAAATGGAAACACACATAAACCTGTAGGGGAACATTTTATGATTAGGCCCCATTACATCACAGATGTTACCACTTTTAATCAGTGCTACATGCATGATATTACCCTACCCTTAGCTATGTTATAACATATTTTGGTCTTGCTTGTGTTGATACAATCAAACAAGTTGTTATTATCATAGAATCATAGAACTGGAAGAGACCTCAGAAGGTCATCAAGTCCAGCCCCCCCTGCTCTAGGCAGGACCAATTCCAACTAAATCAACTCGGCCAGTTATAACTCTGCCTTTAGTCTGATCTCCCATTATGACAGGTGCTGATAGTCCTCTGTGAACTGTTGTGATCGACTTAGTCTCCATCACTAAGTAGAATCAGAAAAGTCCACACCTCTTTCCTAACTCTCTTCTAACTGCCTTGTGTACACATGCAATTAGAGGACAAAAAGTTACAGAGTCTTGCATGAGGAAGCCCTCAGCAGAATAGCAAGTGGCCAGTTGCATGGTGCATAAACATGCAGATAGGCACCTAATGGAATTTTCAAAGTTACCTAGGGGTCTAACTCCCGTTAATTTTTGCGAGTTAGAGCTCTAGGTAAATTTGATAAATTTAATTAGATGCCTACCTACATTTTTAGGCACCTAACCATATTTATGATTAATGCCCTGTAGTTCCCCTTATATCACTAGAGGGCACAATAGCTCTTATTTCAAACATTGATACCCGGGCTAGTATGCAGCCATAGAAGCTAAGTCTTAATCTACCACTGAGAACTTTTGACACATGTCCAGTCTCATTCCTACCACTGAGTCATTACCAATAGATTTGTTAAATGTCAATTAACTTTAGAGAAATGGTTGAGATAGTCTAGAGATATCACAGTGACCCCAATTAAATACCTGAGTTATTAGATACAATTACTAATCATTTAGGGTGGGATCTTGAGAATGGGGCTACAGTGTGCATGCTCAGGGGCTGAAACATCTGCATTGAGGGTTTTTTACTGCACAAATGTAGACAGAACACACATTTAGGCACCTACAGGATTAGAGAGCAATGAGTGGGAGTTCTGTGGATTGCAGTTGTGCCTAACAACAGGACTCAGGCATTTAAGCACATTTGTGGCTCCCACCCTTACCTTATTTATATCCCAATTTCCTCAAATATAGCCTATGCACAAGATCTGTTATGTTTAACCATATGGAACCCTTTAAAGTCTCTTACTCCATTTAAAAGATCATTCAGGAAAAAGGGTTAGCTTTAAAAATACATTTTGGTGCTTAAAGATGCATATAGGCACCTAATGGCATTTTTGATTTTGAGAGTTAGAGCTCTAGCTGCTTTTGAAAAATCCCAGTGCATTTTTAGGCACCTAAATATCTTTAACATTCTGACCCAAAGAAAAGACTGATGAAATGCTAACTTTCTTAAAGGACCAAGTTTCTAATTAATTATAACTCTAATTCGCAGAGTCATATGTACATTCAAAGCAAATTCATGCTTAAAAAGTGCTGCGAGTTTGTGGAGAGATGCTTCATTTTTCCACACACAAAAAGGACTCTAAATCTCTTATTCTTCTTTGTTGTATCTGTGGAGTTGTAACTTGTGCTTCTGTAGTTAGACCAGCACACAAGCTAAAAAGAATAAACCAATTTCAAGGAGGCAAGTTAGGATTTAGGGCTGTGCTGCTGGCATGGAATACTTAATCAAGGAAAGTTAAATTAGAGGAAGCACCAACTTTGGCAGATGAGGAAATGTCCCCACATGTATTTGCATCCTTGTATGTATCTGGTACCAATTCATACGGAGGTGTCATTCTCAACTGTTTTCAACATGAACCACTTAGTTTTTATTCTTCCAATCAGCTTTTAAAAAGTTGCAATTCTGGAGCTTTTGTGTTCTCTAGGTGGATGTTCTGTATTATAACCCCAATACTAATACAAACTTTGGTGCTCACTCCAGCTCAGAGATCTGCATTCTGATGCTATAGTCACATCTAGGGCAATTTGTGAATTTCTGTTCAATAAACATCCCTAGAGTTCTGTGAGTGTGACCATTCCCAGATGAAACACCACTGCCCTGCCCTGCTCAGCTATACTGTTGGCAATTCCGTCCCTGCACGCCATATGTACCCACATACAGATATGCTACCGCCCCCATAAGGACTTCTCTATAAGACACCCCATCCCCCATAGGACCTTTAAACCACAGCTGGCCTGCTCAGCTATACTGTTGGCAATTCCGTCCCTGCACGCCATATGTACCCACATACAGATATGCTACCGCCCCCATAAGGACTTCTCTATAAGACACCCCATCCCCCATAGGACCTTTAAACCACAGCTGGACCCCCCCCCCTCTGCAGGGACTTTACCCCCATAGGGACAGC